CCCTTCCCCAAAAAGGGACCCCAAAAACCCCCAAAATCCCCCAAACGGAGCCATTTAAGGAGCAGGGAACACGACACTGAGGGAGCTGGAGGGGTCCCGGTGGATTTTGAGGGGGTTCTTATGGATTTTTGGGGGTCTCTATGGATTTTTGGGGGGGATCTCTACATATTTTGGGGGGGCGTCAGGCCCCCCCCGCCCCCCTTTTCGCTCTTGACCTTGAGGAACTCGGCCATGCTGGAGAAATATTTCTGGTTCGCCTCCGCCCCCTTCTTCTCAGCCGCTTGAGGGTTGACGATCTCCAAACCCTGGTTTTGGGGGGGGTGAAAGAGGTGAGTAAAGGTTAAAAATAATAAAAGGGGTCTTAAAATATGGGGGGAGAGGGGGAAAAGCCCCAAATTTGGGGTTTTTTCCCCTCAGAACGGCACCTGCAGGGGGGTGAAGGCGACGCTGGAGGCGGTGCCCGAGGAGCGGTCCCTGATGGTGGATTTGCCTCCGTAAACCACGCTCTGCTTCTGCAGCGTGCGCTGGGAGGGGTTAATCGAGTTAATTAGGGGTTAATTAAGGGGTTAAGGGGTTAATGAGTTAATTAAGGGGTAATTTTTACCTGTAAGGTCTTGGAGATGCGCGCCTTGGTGGCCTCGTTCACCTGCGTCTGCCTCACGCGCCCGCTGCCCGATTTGCCCAAATGGCCCAGGCTGAAGCCCAGATCCTCCTGGTAGGCGTCCTCCTCGATCTGTTAATTAACCCCGCTCGTTAATTACCTCGTTAACTGTACTAATTACCCAGGTAATCAGCAATGAACCCCTCACCGACCTCCCCGAAGCTCATCCTGTTTGCCTGCTTCCTGATCTCCGTCAGCCCCAGCCGCTCCTTCATCTTGCGGTACCTGCGCCAGTGAGTTAATTAATTCAGTAATTAACACCCCCCCTCATTAACGAACCCCTTCACTCCCTTACCTGCGCCCCCCTCGCTTCTTCCTCTGCCCGTCCAAGGGGGCCGGCAGCGGCTTCACCTGCTTCACCGGGGGGGGGTCCCGCCACTTGTCGAATTTCCGCTCGATTTCTTCCTTTAAGTCGTAACCCACCTGGGAATTTGGGGGGAAATTGGGGTTTTTGGGGCAGTTTGGGTGGTTTGGGGGGGATTTGGGGATTTCTTTGGGAGGTTCTGGGTGTTTGGGGGGGTCTCAGGTGGCAGAAATGGCCCCAAAGTTCAGGATTTTAGCAAATATTGCAAAATATTCACCAGTTATCTACAATTTATTTATGATTTATTCGATTTCTGCTCCGTTTCTTCTTTAAAATCTCTAAAATTGGGTTTTTTGAGGGGATTCTGGGCTTTTTTGGGGGGCTCTGGGTGTTTGGGGGGGGGTCTCAGGTGGCAGAAATGGCCCCAAAGTTCAGGTTTTTAGCAAATATTGCGAAATATTTACCAGTTATCTACAACTTGTTTATTATTTATTCAATTTCTGCTCCATTTCTTCTTTAAAATCTCTAAAATCGCGGGTTTGGGGGGGTTCTGGGCTTTTCTGGGTGGTCTTGAGTCTTAGAAACCCCCAAAAAATTCAGATTTTTAGTCAATATTTTACCATTTACCCCATTTTTGTAGAATTTCTTCTTTCAAATCTGTAAAATTGCGGTTTTTGGGGGTGGTTTTGAGCATTTTTGGGGGAGTTCTGGGCTTATTGGGTACTCCTGGCTCTTAAAAACCCCCAAAATTCAGATATTTTCCCAAATATTTTGAAATTTATCAAATTTCCTCTCCATTTCTCCTTTAAAATCTGTAAAATTGGGATTTTATAGGGTGGTTCTGAGCATTTTCGGGTGCTCCTGCCACTTAAAACCCCCCCAAAAAGTGCAGATTTACCCCAAACCCTCCACATTTCCCCATTTCCTGCCCCCACACCGGCCCTCAATGCTTTTTTCCCAGGTTACCCCATATTTTTAGGGTATCCTCACACTAAAAACCCCCCAAACCCCCCCCACCATGGGGTCACCTTCCCGTCCTGGCTCTCGTGGAAGCTGTCCACCCTGGCGGCCAACGTGCACTTGGCGGCGACGAGGCGGGCGGCCTT